ACGAACGTGGCCCACATAATGTAGTGCAAAGTCGTACAAATAGAGGCGAAGTAGAAGCTTTCTTACAGGATTATTTGCTATCAAATAGCCGACCCAATTTTATCGGTTTGGGATGAGTTTGATACTGAATTTACCATGAATGCTATTTTATAGTGTAGTCCGCAGCTTGGCCTCTTGCTACCGCTTTACCTCATTACCTCTATGGCGTGCCAGCACCAGTTCAGTCTAATAGCTAAAACGCGCTAAAATTTTCAAAATGAGCTTGAACTACATCTGTACTACTGCCCATAAGTAGCGGAATATTGACCGCAGTCAAAAAGTGGCCTACTTCTTTTTGAGCTTCTAACAGACCTAAATTTTGCACTTTCAATCTTCTCAAAGCAAAAGTCTCTAACGCATAATTGTATAGTTTGAAGGCAGGATTCGGGATTGAATTGATGCGATGATTCCACTCAAATGTGAAAGTAGGGATGGGAGGTGGACCGCCAGTGGAGAAAAAAGGAAAGAAAATCGTGAAATACACAGGAAATACGAGTTTTACGCTGCGGAGAAGTTCAAAAGGCAGGCAGGGAGATGAGAGATAATGTGAGCGCGGAGAGCGGTAGAGAAGTCCGAGAAGAGAGAGCATAGCAGATCAACGTAGCGACGCAGACAAGATATCGAACGGTGGGCGGACCATGTTAGTTTGGTGGAGTCTGTTAGAAGTCCATGGCGCCTAGGGTCCTAGTGACGCGTTTCGATGTAGAAAGGTGGCGCTACCTTTGCACTTGCACTTCTAGCCATGGTAAGGGCTTGCTAAGTGGGTCTGAGCCCGAACTTTGCCTTTAAGTGGATAGCGTTGGTTTTGTGTGAGTCGTGGTATGCTGATTAGTAGAAGGAATCACGCAGACTCGGCTCACTGAAAGGATTTGAGGAAAAGGGAAGAGGATTAACCTTCTACCAGTAGAGAAGTGCTGGATATTGAAGTACATTACATATGTGGGAGACGCCACGTGTCTGCATGAACTTCTCATGACGAGTTGCTCAACTGGTTTCCTTTTTTGTTTGCCTCGTCAGAAGAGCGGCACCTGTACAGAAGTTCGTCCCCGAGAAAAACCGTGCAGTATTGATACGAAATTGCCACGGCGTCAACATTTGGATACCTTATAGAGTTTTAGAGTCTTTAGAGTCTTAATTTGAAGAAGCTATCACTATGACATGAGTGGAGTCGACGACGAGCAACCATTTCCTCCTTCACCCCCTTCTAGGTTGAGTTCTCGGTACGATCTTAATTTGTATTGAATGCTAGGTATTGTGAAAGAGGAGATGCACTGCGAGAGCCCGATCGAGATCTGCAAAGGAATTGCGTTAATCCCGCATTACCAGTAACTACTGGATGTTCCAGATTTGTGGTTACATACCAGTGTGTGTGTGGTGTGCACCTCTACATTGTTTCCAGTGTATTCGTTTGCTATTTTCACACTCCAAAAAGTTGTAGCATGGAAAAGCATGATGTTTTTTCCATAATGTGCAGGACGACGTCAAATGTGAAAGTATCTTGGACTGAGTACTTGAAATCGTGGAATTCTGCCGTATCTTCCGTTCAATCCTCATGGTAGCATGCTCCTCATAGAGAACTCCTTTCGTAAGTGAGCTCCTAGTTAGGTGTGCACTGTATGCGTAGTGGACATTTGGTACATTAGCTCACACTATTTATCTCATGAACACACCTTAAAGGCGGAATTTACTCTGAAAAAGGCAACCCATTTCAAATTGAGGATGGTCAGTGGTACAAAAAAGAAGGAAGAACCATGAGAAACGGCCCAGAACCCGAGAAATGGGACCCCTTCCTTGCCCGTTGATTTCCGCATTGATGCGACTCTCATTCTGCCCTCTTCAACGCTAACGCACTCTCTGCGTCGGTGGGCGTGCCGCGCCAACTGCATC